AGGCTGGCCTTGAACTCACAACGATCCACCTGTCTCTGCCTCCAGGAGAGCTGAGATTACAGGAGTGTGCCACTGTGCTCAGCTCTAGCAGAGTTTTTATCAAAAATCTTAAAGACTGCTGTATCATGTACTTGACTCTATCATATTAACAAACATTTCCCAACCATCCAATTTGTCTTTGTAGCCAAGCATAAAATTTGAGGGTTTTGATTTATACAACATTCAAAACAGAAACAACTGAAGAGCTATATGTAAAAAAGAAATCAAAACCTAGCAAATAAATCAAAACCTAATTATTAATCACTACCTCAATATTAAAAAACAATATTATGTTTATTGGACCTCAAGCTCTGAGTTCAAGGAACACCTAGTCTACAAAGTGAGTTCCAGAACAGTTGGGGCTACACAGAGAAACCCTGCCTCAAAAAAATAAAACAAGACCAAACAATAAACAAAAAAAAAGAAGAACTTAAAATTTCTTTAAATAAATCCAACACAAAATCTAAATGCCCCAGCTGGGTGTGGTGATTGGCACTCGCCTATAATCCCAGCACTCAGGGAGGCAAAGGCAGGCAGATCTCTGTGAGTTCCAGGCCAGCCTGGCATACAAAGCAAGTCTAAAGCCCAGGCTACACAGAGAAGCCCTATCTCAAAAAAGCAAAGAAAAAAAAAAGAACACTGAATGGGAAGGGCCCTAAGGCTTGGCAAAGATTTCTTAAATGCCACACAAAAATCATAAACTTTAAAAAAAAAAAAAACCAACTATATTTTATATGGTCTGTAAAAACTATTTCCTATGGTCTGTAAAATCCTATTATCTTCAATAAAATACTAATAAATACTAAATATAAATAAGCATTCAGCCACCACTGACTCATTCTACCATTCAGAAAAAGAAAAAAAAAAAAGTCTATCCTGTAAACGGAGAAACTAAGAAAGCAACAGCAGGATGGGGAGAGGAAAAAGGAAAAGTACAGTCATCAATGAATGCACAGCCTAGTGTGTGGGCCGGGAGGAGGGGAATGAGGAAAGAAGAGAAGCTCTGACTGTCCACCTGTGCTGAGCAGATCTCACCACAGCTCCTAGCACAAATAAGGGACACCTTGTTCTGGGATCACCCTCACCATCAATTTCTCCCTTCTCACTGTTCTTCAAGTTTTCTGTTTGCTCTAAAATAAGAAAGAAAACTGAGACAGGCCTGAACAAGCACAGGCCTCGCACCCAAAATGCCCTCAACACAGGGTTAGGGCAGCGCATCATCCCCGGCACTTCTCACCAACTGCTTACTCAGCACTGGTACAACACAGGCCACAGCATGATGTTAAGGACTTGTCTTCCTTCCCTGTTTCTCCATTCATGAAAAGGGCAACTAGCAACTTGTGAATTCAGTATTTGCTGACTCTTTGGGATGCTACGAGGATCCTCTTTATAACACTAAAAATGTCACACACAAGTACAAAGAGCTTGTCCTGTTAAAGTCTTTTTTCCTGAGAAAACAGAAATCCTAATTATAGCACTGATTGACTAATTAAGTGACTATGGGACATATACCTTCTCACTCATTCTGCACTCTCCCTCTCCCCTCATCCTATTAACAAGTAGTATCTGGTTCAATTCCCAACACCAACAACCAGCCAACCAAGAGGAGAAATGTTATCTAGGTTGTTTAGTAACTGCTACCCTTTTTCAGAGCTTTGATTACTATTCCTTCTCTTTACCACATGTTCTACTCCATAAACTCCAAAAGAGCTACGGCTAGAATAAAGCAAAAGAGAAGGAAAAAAAAGATGAAAGCTTAACTTTTGCTATTAGCTATTAGTTTATTATACTAAAATAGGAGTAAACAACAAGATAAACTGTGTCTAAGCACGATCACTACCCTGTTAACAAATCAACGTGTTCGTTCATTCAGCAAGCACTCAATTGAAAAAAGAATTATCTGTAGTAGGACGTACTCCTGGAACTTCCAGAAGGCACTCTTGCAGCAGATGTCCCCTCTTAACTGGCCACAACACTCATCACTTGTTTTTTTAATTTATCATTCATTCAATAACATTGTCTGCTATTAATGTTTAAAAGGTAAGCTGACATTTTAAGCAGCAGCTCAGTTATGCAGTGACTCTGGCCTGTGAGCAGCCTTCCTAACTGGAGCATGTGTACTGCACATCTTACCTACTGAGTCCACTCTTACGGATCTCCACTATAGCATCTGGGCTACAGGCATAACTGTAAAATTAATTTCAAGAACTGCTGTGATGTGTTAGTGATCTGTATTATCTAAACAAACTCCAGCATAATTTTACTTTGAACTAATAATATTTTTAGTGAAAGAGTCCTCCAATGTCTATAAACTTTAAGTTGATTTTTTTTACACTTTTCTCATTTTAGAAAAGTATATGAACAAAAAGCCAATAATAGCTTTCATAAAACAAGCCTTTTCTAGATAATGTGTAAGGTGTAAGATCAAGGCATTAAAAACACCACAGCACAGAGTCCATACCTACTATGCTTCTTATTCAGAAGCAGGGTCTCTATCTAGAGCTCTGTCCGAAGGTCCGTCTAAACGTCAGGGACAGAGCTGACCAAGTACAAGAATAACACCTTTTGGTGTCACACAGCTGAAGAGCTTCTCCCTCTGTGGAGAACTACGTACTGATTGGTATCTAGAACCCTGACACTAAGAAAATCTCAAGGACCTCAAACACTTCAGGTTACTATGCCTAAGACCATAAGCCATTTCTTTTTCTTTAAACCAAAAGTGTTTTTTTTTAAGTCAAATAAAATATTTTTAAATATAATAAGTGATGAACAAGAATTGAAAACTGTGATGAATGCTGTATGGAACTATAAGGTATTACACCCTGGACAAGACACAGTGGTATTAGATAATGAACTTTTTACACTTGAGGTTATCTTTTACATATTTCTTCTAAATCAGCAATTCTCAACCTGTGGGTCATAACCCCTTTTCACAGGGATTGCCCAAGACCATCGGAAAACACAGATATTCACATTATGATTCATAACAGTAGCAAAATTACAGTTATGAGTAGCAACAAAAATAATTTTATGGCTGGGGGTCACCACAACCTGAGGGAACTGTATTTGAGGGTCAAAGCATTTAAGAAGGTTGAAAACTACTGTTTTAAATAAATTAAATTAAAAAGTCAAATGACACAGCTTTTAATGAAATGGAGAGAAAGGGGGCATTCTGTTTTAATATTTAATTAGACAGCATTCATGCTTACAAAGTATTGCATTGATGCATAAATCATGCTCACCACCTAAGTGAGAATGTCACAATTGCCTAATTTAACTCTAAGCGCCCACTGACATCAACAGGCAAGCTCCAGTAAGCCGTGCAGAAAGCCATCCTCACAGCACTTAGTTTCTAAGCATTGTAATTTTGACAACACGTGTTCTCTTTTCTTCAAAATAACAACAGCCTAAGTAAAGAACACTATGAAAATATGAGTATTTTTTATAGAATTAGTCAGAAAAAAATTTATTCATTCCTAACTTGTTTCTGAAAAATATTCATCCACTGTGTTCATCCCTCAATGTACCAATAAAGAATTCATTCCAAAGGATACATAATTATTGCTGTCATCTTCTTAAGCACACTCGTCATACAAAACACTACAGCTTACACTTGGACCGTTCCTGACTCACACCCCTACCCTCTACTGTTCCCATCACCACCATTTTTCTGGCAGGATAGTCACAAGGCTGAAGGTTCAGTTAACAGAATGATTGAAATCAGGTGGCTAGCCACAAACAAGAAGTTAGAAGGGTCAAGAAAAATAAACCAAACCACTTTAGTTACTTTTTATTTTAAATCTCTAAAGTAGTTACATGTTCATTTGTACCTGAAGCTGTAACCAGAGCTTTTCCCCTAATAATACTAGTAAGTCAATTTTGCCATGGAGGATCAGCTAGGATCAGTTTCTGTTTTTGTTTTAGCAATATTTTTCGTGTATCATTTCCTTACCACCAAGTGATTTTCCACATTATTTTCCTAAATTTTCAATCTATCAACAACAAAGCTCTAAAAATTAACCCTTGGAAAGATAAACCAATATGGCTTAAACACAATTGTCAACATTAACTATAATTGATAAGACAGGCAAAAGAAAAGGTAGCCATCAACTCTTTGCCTGAGAATCTCAATTTAAAATATTCTGAATACATATTATATATACACACTTTTAATAAACAAATGAACACAGAATTTACTTATTAAAAATAGGGAACTTTAGTCTCAACGTTTACAGCAGATAAAAATATCTTAGTTTTGCTTAAAAGGCAAAATAGTAGTTTCATGAAATTTCTCCTTACAGGTATAATCATATGAATGACAGTTAAAATAATTGCTTTAAAAATACTTCTGAGTCATGTTGTCCTTACCTGCAGGCATGAACCATTACTGCATGCAGTGACTGTTCCACTGCCTAGCACAGACTTGAAGAAACATCATATCTCTTTTTCAGAATGTGACTAATCTGTGGGTTTGCAATTCCTAAGCTATGTACAAATGGCACTCCCTTTGTTCATTAAAAAAAAAAAAGATAATACTTATTACAGTAAAAAAAAAAATCAACTATGCTTAAGCTAGATATTTACAAATAACCTTGGAAATTCTATATAGCAGCCACCTCAAAACATAAGAACAAAAATCTTATAATAGTTCCTTTAAAAACGGAAGATTTTTCTCAGTTAAATTATTTTTTCAGCTTTCAGCAGCTGTCACACATGAACCAGCACTCTGATGTGTTATGGTGTGCATGCTGCAGCTGATTAGACCGACTGTTTTTCTAAAAAAAATCAATTTCCCTTCGCAAAGCAGAACAGCTTGCCCAAATACACATCTTCAATACAGCACAATGCCAGCATGCAGTACAATACGTTATATAGCAAACTTGACAAGGAAAAAAATATGTCCTGTTTGTTTCTTAGCAATGCTACACCATTAATTGTTCATGCAAGAGATGTAGCTGTACCTTTCTGAAGAGGACGACTTCTCAGAGTTAACTGACATCAGCAGCTCAATCTTCTGCTTGATTTCTGGAAAAATCAGAAAATATTCACAACCAAGATTGCCCGCCCTTGCTTACAAGCCTTATATCAAGAGATTTTTCTTCTCTAATCCCTTTTGTTCAGAATGAGGCCACAAGATTCACAGTACTTCAGTTAGGACTCCGATTCAATGGTGCTATAAAGGGAAAAAGCTCCAGAGGCATCAGGCCCTGCTAAACTATGCACATGACTGTTTATGAAAGCAGGAAGTACCATTTCTTTTAAGCAGAGGGGTGTCCTTTTTCTTTTTAAGGTGGAACTACCCCGGCTCTATAAAAGGTCTCAAAATAAACAAATTACAACACAAACATGAAATGCTAACATCTAAACTCAGTATATACTAAATAATTTAAGATCCTAAATTACAATGTTTCAGTCTGCAACAAACAGATATGCAACCCCTGGCTGCTTCTATTTGATTAGCCCTAAAAAATATGGCTCAGTGAATCATTTTTGTCACTTAAGAATGAAATATTAAACCAAAACCCCAATTCAATGATTAAAATACGCTTAATCTCTGTTCTATTTTCCTGATTGTTTTTAATTAAAGCTATACATAGTATCTAGTCCCTAACGCTTTTAGAAAGAGAGTTCTTTTACACCTTAGTTTTCCCCTCCTCCTTCACAGTGCACAAGTGAACAGCAACACCCAGGTACCGAGCAGAGATGATATTTTCGTCCTTTTAGGAAAGGACTGGCAACGCCACCTACATCACAAATTTAAGTTCAATTTAATTAAAAGATGGTTGCTGGAACCACATTGGGTAGGAGAAGGACTTAAAGGGAAGAATAAAAAGAACAGAGCAAAAGCAAAGGCAGAGGAAAAATTGAGCACAGTCGATTAAACACACCAACTAGCCGAAGGCTGACAATTCCAAGAAGTAAAACCTAGTTATTATTTCACGTGAAGCGCTGCTTTTTTTTTCTATTCCTAAAAGTATTTTAACTGTGTTTTTTTTTAATTGCACTATACTTTTATAATAAAAAGTTCACATACTAAAAATAAATCATACACGGAGAAACCTTGCCTCACAAAAACCAAAAAAATAAATAAACAAATATTAAAAGAAAACTGCATTACTGGAACACTATAAGGTCCCAGAACGCCAAAGCATACCTCAATAATTGGGGCTAGGGGTATGTACACATGTCTGCGCACACGAGTGAGTGTGTGTGTGTGTGTGTGTGTGTGTGTGTGTGTGTGTGTGTCTACACTAATAAAATTAAAATATGAAGAAATAGAAAAAATAAAAATAGTTGCTGCATAAAATAAAACAGAGTAGGAAAACTCTTTCCCAGTGTTGTTAAGAGTTTCCTAATTTAAGCATGTCTCCTCATCCCATGGACAGTATAAAATTAGTTAAACTGGTATAATAATACAGCTTACCTTGAAAATTCTGAGGTGAGTAACAGCCCAGCACAAGGGGCCACAGAGAGACTGCTCAGTAAAGGATCCCCCATTTCAAAAGGAGAAATGCCTCTGCGGGGGACTCAGAAACACTTTTTCATTTCAAAAACCATGAGACCTTCAGCAAACTGACTATACTATCTAAAGCCTGTCTTTCCTTATCAATAAAACAAACAAAACTATTACTACTTGACAGGCTAGTCTGGACAAATAACTAGATAATCCATGCAGAGCTCAGAAAGAACACACACAACCCGTGTTCCCCACTGGCTAGCAAAGCACAGCGCCCCCTCAATAAATATTTACTGAAGGAGCTTATGAGGTACAGGCCTCTCTACTTTCTTGGTGTTTGTGTAATTTTGTACAAACTTGTCCTTTACACTTAACTCTTACTTCTCCTTTTTAGTACCAAACTTCACCATGTACTTTTTAATCCGTATGCCACTGCGTGTCGAAGTTAACCTCACTCTGTATCTCAGGCTCCCTACATTCTTTTGACTGCATGTTTCAGAATGAAATTGTACTTGAACCACCTTCACCATGACAATATCTTGTTGCAAAAAAATAAAAAATTGTAAGTTCTTACTTCACTGTTTTTTTGTTGTTGTTGTTTGGGTTTTTTTTTTGTTTTTGTTTTTGTTTTTTGTTAGTTCAAGGTAAAAACTATTTTAAGACTGTGGAGCCAACCAGCATTGTGGCAACACAAAGGGTTTCCAATATTCCTTTCACATTTTCTCCAAATCATGAAGATTTGTGTGGTTCCAGAAAAACTGAAAGATTCAGGAATGATTATAAACCCTGCGTGATGGCCAGACCTTGGAAGGCAGCCAGGCATGGTGGTAATACAAGCCTCTAATTCAGCAGTTGGAGGCAGAGGCAGGTAGATCTCTATGAGTTCAAAGACAGCCTAGAACAAAGCAAGTTTCCAAAGCTGTGACACAGAAAAACCTGGGGGTGGGTGAGTAGAGTCCAAAAACAAGAAAACTACACTTTTTCTGCAATTAAACCACTCATTTTAACCAGTCTTCTCATTAATGTCTATGTTAATCTTCACTTTCCTCTAGCATACTTCACAATGGTGTCCTTAAGCATCTCTCTAACGTGGTTTAAAAACCCAATCTGCTTTTACCATCACCTTTTAAAACACTATGGCCCACAAGCAGCCTTATAACCTTGCAAATACCTATTTCTTCAACCAACAGCCTTCATTTGTATTTCTATACCAATGATATGCCAATGATTGTTGTTTTTTAAGTTCATCAATCTGGGGCTGCCTTGATGGCTGAGCAGATAAAAAAGGCACCTGCCATTAAAGCTGACTTCCTGAGTTCAATCCTCAGGACTCACGTAGGCGGAAGAAGAGATCAATTCCTGAAAGCAGCCCTCTAACTTCCACATATGAACAATGACATACACAGAACGCAGGGAATTGCAAATTGCGTGAATATATTTGTAAAAATTAAAAAATAAAATCCATCAACCTGATTGCTTTCCTTCAGGCTTTATCTGCTTCCCTATGTTACATATCTACACACTGCACTCAAAATGCTTCACAGTATTACAATCAGCACCTTACACCTCTGATCCTTTAATTCATCATTTGGCATGGGTCCATAACCCTGTTTCTACTCACACCATAAAACTATGCTTCTTTACCTCACAGAGAAAATAAGTATTTATTTTAGTTTTTATATAAAATTATAGGAGGATATAAGTTTTATTGTCTCATCCTCCAAAGTAGTGGGGTCAGACATTATTCTTTAAATGCTTTTACTTCTGTAATTCTCTGGAAGTCTAAATCCTTCATGTGCTTGTCATTTCCCACACAATTCTTTTTTTTTTTTTTTGGAAACAGGGTGTTTCTGTGTAGTCCTGGCTGTCCTCCTCAGCCTTCTCTGAAGTCTTTTACAATGTAGGTCTATCAGACCTTATACCAACTGAAATCTTACCACTGCTAATTAGCTTTATTGATTAAAATAGGTGGTCTGTGATACCACATTCTTCTTATACATATATTACCTTATATACCAAATCAAAGAAACACGCTGGGCAGTCAAAATGGCTTGGTAGGTAAAAGTGCATGTTGTACAAGCCTGAAAACCTAAGTTGGGTCCCCGAACTCATGTAAGGGTAGAAGAGAATTTCACAAAATTGTCCTCTGATCTTTATATACATGCCATGGCATGTGCATCCCACCTTCCAACACATACACAATATGCAACACACACAAATAAAGAAGTCCAAAAAATTTTAAGGGAAAAAAGTAAAGATTCCCCTTGTTTGTTTTCTGAGACAGGGTGTCTAGAGAACTGGGCTTGAACTTGTGAAGAGCTCAGGATTGAACCTCAGGTGTCCAGCACTCTAGGCAAGCACTCTACCAACTTTAGCTCCACCCCTAACCTCTACATTCACACTGTTGTATCCACAGCCTACAAGCTTGCCTCCTTCCACCTACCTCTTAGATACCATTTTTGCTTGTATCTTAAAAGTTACTGAGATTGCTTGTAAGGATTTAACTCTTTAATGCCCTTCATCTCTAGCATTTCTATTTCATAACACAGAGGTTCAAAACTCTTACTCATTCAGAACTAGGTACAGTGTAAAGAACTGTGACCAGAAACATACAAGAAAAAAGATGATGCAATTAATTACTCTAGGAGCAAAACCAGGCAGCCCTAATCCTCTGAGAACCCTAATAACAATGACAGCAGAAGAAACAACAGGGGTGCCATAAACATGAGATGCTCCTGTCAATTCCATCACAAACCTAACATGAGGCCCTTGACTTTTGTGATACTGTAAATTAGAATATAGTGCTTCCTAGATGCTAACAAAAACTTTCACTTGACAAATTCTTTACATGGCCAACCGTAAACCTGATTTTATTTGAGTATGTTTAAGATAGATTTTTTTTTAAATGTTTTTACTTTATGTATATAGGTATTTTGTCTGTATGTCTAGGTGCCACGTTTATGCCTAGTACCCACAGAGGTCAGAAGAGGGAATGAAATTCCTTGAAACTGATGCTTGAGAATAATTACCACACACTAAACACTATAAACAATAAAGTGCCTTACATAATTTACAAAAATACCCTTCATCACAATTTCACTGTTGTGTTGTTACACAACTAACCAAGTTGCATTTAATATACAAATGTGTGTCAAGAAACTGTTCACAGGGGCTGGAGAGATGGCTCAGTGGTTGAGAGCACTGTCTGCTCTTCCAAAGGACCCGGATTCAATTCCCAGAACCCACATGGCAGTTCACAACCGTCTATTAACTCAAGTTCCACTGGATCAGACTCCCTCACACAAACATACAGGCAAGACAAACACCAGTGCATATTAAATAAAAAAAAACTTAAAAAAAAGAAAAAAAGAAAAAAAAAAACCTGTTCATTTAAAAAAAATAAAGTTTGCCAGACAGTGGTGGTGCACACTTTTAGTCCCAGCGCTCAGAAGGCAGAGGTGGGGAGTTCTTTATGAGTTCCAGGACAGCCAGAACTGTTGCACAGAGAGAAACCCTGTCTCAAAAAAAAAAAAGAAAAAAAAATTTTCAGTGAATATTTTTCAGTTGTAACAAATTTTGCTCAATAAAAATAAGCTTATCTTTGGAATTTTAATTCTTTTTTTTTTTTTCCAAAAATAAATTTCTAATATCACCTTTCTTTAAAGTAGCCTTTGCTGCTGAGCTTGGGAGGGTCCAGTTGCTAATGTGGTCTGCATATGAAGACCAGAATTGGGATCCAAGCACTT